ATTATTTGAACAAGGAGAAAACTACCTAGAAACGTATTTTGTAATGATTTATTTCCCTGCTTTTGCTTTGGCTCAGATCTCTTGTCTATGACTTACTTTCATAGTTATGGGAATGACTTCGAGTTCATTAACTTTTGATAACTTAAGATAACCAAGAGTATAAATATGGAAGCTGATTTTAAAAAGCAGTTCTTATCAGTATGAGAGATGAATGTTCTATAAATCATGGGGTGGGCAGTTAAATTCCACTGTTACAGTTTTGTTTGTATTTGCTCAGAGACAGTTATATATTTTTAGAGTATTTGTAACTGTAAGTCATTTGTCTGGAATTTTCTCTCTCCTCTTCCCTCTCTAGAAGAAAATAGTAATTAAAAAAAGAAAACAGTAATCTATGCCTCAAACGAAAACAATCCAACTGATTTACAGGAAGAATAAACTTTTTTCACCAACGTTTTTGTTATAACAGAAACTCATTTCCTCTTTTTTATTTTATAAAAGAAAATATTAAATGCATTAAACTCAAACTATCAGGAATTAAAAAATACAGAACACTTCTGGTCACCATCAGGTTCCAATTTCATCAAAACCAAGACATTCTCTCTCAAATCCTAGAAAAATTTTTCGTGACCTTTTAGGTGAAAAAACACAGATGCAAACTATGTATGATTCAAATTTTATTACAAAAATGTATGTTTCTAAAATACAGACCTGCACATCTATAAATACCAAACACACGTGGGCTATCACCGGAGTGCGCCAGGGAGGCTTTAACTCTTTTATTATACACTCTTCTGAACGTTTAATTTCTTTTTCTTTTCTTTTTTTGAGACAGGGTCTCACTCTGTTACCCAGGCTAGGGTGGGTGACAATCACAGCTCACTGCAGCCTCCACCCACGGGCTCAGGTGAGCTTCCCACCTCAGCCTCCTGAGTAGCTGGGACTACAGGCGTCCGTCATCATGTCTGGCTAATTTTCGTATTTTTAGTAAAGACGGGGTTTCACCATGTTGCCCTGGCTGGTCTCTGACTCTGGGCTCAAGCAATCTGCCAGCCTCAGCCTCCCAGAGTGCTAGGATTACAGGTGTGAGCCACCACGCACAATCCCACTCCATCTCCACAGACAAGGTCTCATCCTGTCACTCAGGCTGGAGTGTAGTGGCATGATTGCAGCTCACTGCAGCCTCAACCTCCTGGGCTCAAGAGATCATCCCACCTCAGTTTCCTGAGCAGCTGAGGCTACAGGCACAGGATAACATGACCAGGTAATTAAAACAAATTCTTTTGTAGAGACAAGGTCTCACTATTTTGCCTAGGTTTGAACTATTAATTTCTTATGATGCATGCTCCAGTTGTAATTTTAAGAAATTAAATATAGTGTTAAGCATTATGATGCTGCTAAAAATAATACTTTTTTGCATACTGAAAAGTGACATCATCAACAAATCTTCAACTCTAGGAGAAATGAACAGAATTCTATGGATTGGCCACTAATACTCTTCGTTTTGAGCTTTGACATGGATTCTGAATGACTCTGGACTGAAAATTTATCAATTTATTTTGTGTTTCCCATTGTTATCTATTTACTTCTTTATATTGATACAACGGTTAGTTGGAGAGGCGTAATAATTGGGTGGGGGCATCACCCAGAATAATGAAGATGAAAATTTAGGTTGAAAACAAAAGACCATTTGTACAATTTCTGTGTGGCATCATTTGTTCTAGATCTACATTTCTATTTCTGGAAATACTCTAACAACAACATCAGTCAGCTTTCGTTGAGCATTTATACTCTGTGCTTTACTCCTATTGACTCACTGAATCTTCATTACAACCCTGTGAAGGAACAAAGACAATCTTGTTCTAGCGACAGAGAAAGAATGTGAACCCACACTGTCTGGTTTCAGAGCCCAAACTCAACAACTTCTTTAAATTAGAATACTGTGTTAGGTTCATATAAGTGATCATTTGTATGCTGTTTTTGGTAGGTGTCAGACCCAAATTCCCTACTGTTTTATTTGGGGGAAGAAAGCACTGAGATGAATACCCTTCTATACTCCAGTATATCTTTTGGTACAGAAATGCATTCTAGACTGTGGTGAGTGCTATTCTCTATGGCATGGTGTACACAGGCATGCACGGTGCACCCTGAGCCACCTGGATTCTGAAAGCTTCTAAGTGTTGAGAATCTCCACTTTAGTATACCAAGTTGCTTTAATTTTCAGTACACGTAACAAATGCCAGATAACAAAAATGGAACACTCTGCGTTCATTTCCTAATTCATTCTTCACTAGAACTTGGTGAACACACAAATACGATGTGTATTACAGAAATACTTTAAAGTTGTTCTTGTGTGCGCTGAGAGGGGCTGCCATTGTGACTAAATAAGTGCTGTTAAAAATATTTATTGTTTTGTTCACAAGTGCTGTAGGTCTCCTGTATTTTAGCTGATTAATTAGGTGTTTGCTAACAGGGTCGGATCTAACCAGTGATGTGTGGCATGTCAGTGTAACTGGAAATAGACCAAAAAACACTGTCACACAGCCAGACCAAACTTGCTCCCTGGTCTTCGTGCTCAGGGGGTCAGCAAATTACTTCACTATTACAGCTGAATATTTTTGGCAAGAATGTGAAATAGAAACCCCAGTTTGGGGAGGAGGGTGGAAGGCTGGGAACAAAATGCTTTTATAATGGATGATCCATTGTGCCATCTGTGTCTGGAGGTATTTAAGAATTTTATTTTGACTTCATCTGACATCATGATTTTTAAAAGGATGTCAAAAGCAGACATGGCATGAGTTCCTGCAGACTCTGTTTCAGTCCACAGATCATTTTAATCCTTGTTTATTCTAAAATGACTTCTCTGTATGTTTATTAGACTCTTTGGATTCTAAAAGGCAAAAAAACCCCACACATGAACTGTCACGTTCAGTTTTTTCTTACACAACAAACTAACTGTCCTATAGCACAGATACTGAAAATTAACAATAATTGAGGTTTGAAAGTGGAAACCAGCTGGGCACAGTGGCTCACGCCTGTAATCCCAGCACTTTGGGAGGCCAAGGCCGGCGGATCACAAGGTCAGGAGATTGAGACCATCCTGGCTAACACGGTGAAACCCCGTCTCTACTAAAAATACAAAAAATTAGCCGGGCGTGGTGGTGCGCACCTGTAGTCCCAGCTACTTGGAGGCTGAGGCAGAAGAATGGCGTGAACCCAGGAGGCGGAGCTTGCAGTGAGCCGAGATGGCGCCACTGTACTCCAGTCTGGGCGACAAAGCGAGACTCCATCTCAAAAAAAAAAAAAAAAAAAAGAAAGTGGAAACTTAGGAAGATATAAAAATAATATATTTCAGTCTGTTTTAATCATTGCCCCATCAGACACTAATAGTCAGAAAGACTGGAATTTCTGTGGATGGCTTACTTAAGTCTGTATTACACATTTTCAAGTAAAATTAATCTAATGCAAACTCTTTCCCAGGTCACACTGATTCATGAGAATTGGAGAGCCAGAAACAGAAGCCAGGCAGTATGGTCCCAAGCTGAGGATAATGTTATACACTGTGAGAGGCAGTGCACGTGGTCACAAGCAAAATCAGGTTGGTGAGGCTCACAGGGAATTACTGTAAGTCATAAAATCATCCAGGTCGGTTTTCTGATAATTAGCTTCAATTTCAAGAAGGAAGGGTGAGCAGGAATCCCAATGAATACGAGAAAGAATAAGAAAGACAAAAATGTAAGTGCCTATCAGACCAGGTGCAGTGGCTAATGTCTGTAATCCCAGCACTTGGGGAGGCTGAGGCAGGTAGATCACCTGAGGTCAGGAGTTCGAGACCAGCCTGACCAATATGGTGAAACCCCATCTCTACTAAAATACAAAAAAGTGGCTGGGTATAGTGGTGGGCACCTGCAGTCCCAGCTACTTAAGAGGCTGAGACACAAGAATCGCCTGTACCTGGGAGGCAGAGGTTGCAGTGAGCCAAGATGGCACCTCTACACTCCAGCCTGGGTGACACAGCAACTCTGCCTTTAAAAAAAAAAAAAAAAAAAAAAAAAAAAAAGCAAGCACCTATCAAAATGAAGACTGGGAAAAGACTCCCTTCTCTCCAAGTTCTTGCTCAAGGGTCCCTTCTGTGCCCACCTCATCTCAAACAGCCCTCACCCTGACTACTACCACTTGCTGTTCCCACAACTGGAGTTAATTTCTTCACAGTATTTATCACCTCCTGACATATTATAGGTCTACTGTCTATCTCCTGCACCCCACCTAGAATGTAAGCACCGCAGGGACAGAGGCTCTGTTCTTGTTTTGTTCATACTATATTCACAGCCTATACCTATGCTTGAGACCGAGTAGGAATCCAAGTAACAATTTTTACTTCATATTTTTTTAGAGATGGAGGTCTCACCATGTTGCCTAGGCTGGCCTCAAATTCCTGGGTTCTAGCAATCCTCCCGCCTCAGCCTCCAGAGTAACTGGAACTACAGATGTGTACCATTGCACCTGGCTCAAATTCAATAATTATTTGCTGAATTAACGAATGAATTAATGGAATCTCTCCTCTCATAAACATTTCAACTGAAAACATTTTATGTCAGCATTTCTAATTGATAATATACTGGTAATAGTGGGTACAAATAGGGTAGGATTTTTTTAAAGGCACTTCTATAAATAATGAGCAAGTAAATAACTGAAAGACAAAGAATAAAGCATCTTACCAAACTAGCAGCCCCAGAAGACAACCTCTAGGCCAGCCAACACCAGTTTACTTTTCTTCCAGCGTTAGTCCTCAGCCAGAGGCCAGTGAGGCTACCAGATAATAAGAATCAGCAGAGGTGCTTATGGATTTGGATTCTTAGTTTTCGTTCTACAGATTACCACTCTAAAGCTTTCTCCATTTCTCCTCCAAAAATGGTTCCAGCAGTTAAAAAATAATCCTTAGCTCCTGGAAAGACATTTTCCCCCAACCTTCCTCATTCCCAGGTCCTCAGGGTACCACCTACCTGTGATTTTACCCAGACTGGTTTTCTGGAAGTCAGGGTTCCTCAGCTCTTCAGTGCTTGCAGATTTCATGACAGAGTTGATAGACGACAGGGTGCTGATGAGCTGAGAGTTGAGGGAGCCAATCTGTGAGTGAGGCTCCCCGAAAGCTTCTGCCAGTTCACTATAGTTCTCAGCCAGCAGTGTCTGCTGTTCTGCCAGCAGCTTCTGGATGCGCTCAATGTAGTGATCCAGGCCGGTCATCATTCCAGGTGGAGCCTGGGGCTGGGAGTTCTCCAGAGACTCCCCTACAGGGTCATCCCCAACCCCCACGCTCCTTCTGCTGGCTGTCAGCCCCACAGTCAACTGCGGTGGCCCACAAGCTATGGTCCTCATTTTGAGACCAACCAAATAGTTGTCGTTAATATTTATCTGCCCCACGCCTGACTCTTTGGTCTTCACAGCTGATGGCCTGTCAAACCCAGAATGGCCAGAAAGCAACGTTCCAACACCAATGGACCGCGTCTTTGTGGAGGAGTTGATGTCCTTGACACGGCCTTCTCCTACAGCTACTGTCCGCGTCTCCACAGTCTGGGTGCTGGTCTGCTTGTCCAAAGTGCTTAGGCAAGTGTTGGTGCAGGAATCTATGAGGGTGGCTGTCTCGGTGCTGGTGAACTGGTGCACCTGTTCCAAATCCGTGCTAGTGTCCTGGTCTGCGGTATGAGGCACTGCCATGACAGCAGCCTCCACTTGGCCAACAGCCTCAGTGTTCATGCCCCGGGAGGCACACTCCTTTGGAGAGCAGACAGTCACGTCAACAGAACAATCTCCACAACCGATAGACCGCACTTCTTTGAGATTCAAGTTTGTCTTGAGGAGTGTGAGGTCATTCACAGACTCCTCTGTGTTGCTGCCTGTTTCGCAGATGCTGACTTCCACACTCACACTCTTGTCACACATTTCCACAGACCTCCCAGCACAACGGTCGTGCATTTCCACCCTCTCCTTAACAATCCACCAATTCATGGGCAGCTCAGGCCCTACGACTTTGTTCTTACATTCGGGCTGGCAGGAGATGCCTACACTGTTTGTTTCCACGGAGGTCCCAACACACGTGTCCACCAGGTCTGTGTGACTGCCGACCATTTGGTCTCTGGTCTGCACCACCGCCTCCACCACCTTACTGAAAACAAGTGGCTGGGCCATCGTGGCTTTGTCAACCTTTTTCCTCGACCCAGCAGCCTGCAGCTCTTGTTTTAGTTTAGTCATCTCCCGGTCATGGGTGGTTTCTCTAAGCTGTACTTCTAGGCGATAGATCTTTTCCTTCAAGGCTTCTATGGTCTGCTGTTGCAGCTCAATTTCTTTGTCAGCTTCAGTCGTCACTCCAAGCATGGCCTCTGTCACACTGACCCCACAATTCCTCATCTCAGTAAGTGTCCCTACAGCTGCATCCTTACAGGACCTGGAGCCTCTGTGGTACACGATGATGTCATTCATGTTCTCCTCGGCACCCACAGCCACAGACCGGCACTCTCCATTCTCCCTGAACTCTGAGGAGGCCTCACAGCTGCTGTCCTGGATCTTCTGCTCCAGGGCTTGCATGTCTGCTGTAAGCTGCCGGAACTCCTTTATCCTCTGGGTGCTCTGTTCTACGCTCTCCATTTCTTCCTCCTCATAGTCGATGTATAGTTCCCCACCACTTCTTCGGGCCTGGGAGAGCTGTTCCAGCTGGGAGGCGTTCCCTGCACTGTAGGACCGCTTCCTCACACCACAGACATTGCTCTGGGATGCAGCCCTTTGGTTTTTCAGCTGTGAGGCCAACTGCCTTTTCTCTTCTTGCAAGACAGATATCTTTACCTGGAGCACAGGGATGGTTCGCACCTGCTCCTCCAGTTCCTTCAGGCGTTTCAGAGCAATGGCCATCTGCTCACGGATGTGCTGCAGGTGCATAGGGCTCACGTTGGTCACTGGGGTGGAGATCCCTGAGCTCAGAGGGCTGTGGCGGATGGAGCTCCCCATGGAGGAAGTGGTGGGAGCAGCTGGGGCATAGCCACCATAATCCCCATTACCTTGGTATCCATTGTGAAGCTGGTGTATGGCAGGATTGTGGTTTCCAGAACCCACAAAAGAGGGGAGGGAGCTTGTGGAGCCCATGCCTCCAAAACTGGCCAGTCTGGGCCTCCTGAACTCACCTGGTGTCATCTGCATGGTGGCTCTCTCCTGTTCCAGTCTTCTCCGGGTCTCCATCAGTGTCTTGGTGACATGAAGGTTATGCTTTGGGAGTTGTGGTGAGGGAGGTGGCAGCTGTTGATTTTCTGGGATGGTAAGAAAAGGGAGTGAGGTCTCCAGAGGGGCAGGTGGCTTTGAGATTGGAGTTGACGTAACTTGGCTTCTGGCTAGGAGGAAGCTGGGGCACTGCTTGTTGTCATCACTGTTGGAGGATGAGAGGGTTTCGGTGGAAGTCCATATACCTTGCTGACCAGATGTGGTCCTGGGTTCTGGGCATGGCACGGATGGCTTCCGCCTCTTCTGGATGTTCAGTCTTTTGATGGTGTTTCCCTTCTGTATGTCATCCACATATTTGAGGAAATCTAAGTCTAGTTGATAACCATAGGGGGTCTCCACAAAGTAAGGGTCTTTTTGTTCCTTGTCCTGGTCTCCATTCAGAATATCATCTGCTTTTCCTAGAAGAGGGAGAAAAGAATATTATAATGACACGCAATACACATAATGGTAAAAACTAGTATTTGTGTTTGTTGCAGTACAGCAAGCTGGTATGATTTTAAGAGTTGACACACCTATGTTGTAAACTTGGATCTACAACAACTGGGTAAGCAAGTTTTTTTTTTTTTTGAGACAGGTCACTCTGTCATCCAGGCTGGAGTTGCAATGGCGCGATCTCGGCTTACTGCAGCCTCCGCCTCCCGGGATCAAGCAATTCTCCTATCTCAGCCTCCTGAGTTGCTGGGATTATAGAGGCGCACCACCACGCCTGGCTAATTTTTACATTTTTAGTAGAGACAGGGTTTCACCATGTTGGCCAGGCTGGTCTGGAACTCCTGACCTTAGATGATCCACCCTCCCCGGCCTCCTAAACTGCTGGGATTACAGGCGTGAGTCACTGCACCTGGCCTGGGTAAGCAAGTTAATAAACCTCTCTGAACTTCAGTTTCTCCCTGAGTAAAAATGGAGATGCAAATATTTAACTCACAGGCTTGAAACAATGTAATGAGATAATGATTGTATTATTTTTTAAAATTTTATCTTAGATTCAGGGAGTGCATGTGCAGGCTTGTCACATGGATCTATTGTATAATGATGAGCTTTAAGCTTCTAGTGTACACATCACCCAAATAGTGAACACTGTACCCAACAGGTAATTTTTCAACCCTCACTCCCCTCCTTCCCTACTTTTGTAGTCTAAAATGTCTACTATTTCCATCTTTTTCCATCTTTATGTCCATCAGTACTCAGAGATAATGATTTCAACAAGTCAAGCACACAGTAAGTCCTTACTAACTATTTTTAAAAGAATTCATTATAAAAGACACAAAAGGCCGGGCATGGTGGCTCACTCCTGTAATCCTAGCCCTTTGGGAGGCCAAGGTGGGTGGATCACCTGAGATCAAGAGTTTGAGACCAGCCTGGCCAACACGTGGTAAAACCTCGTCTCTACTAAAAATACAAAAATTGGCTGGGCATGGTGGCAGATGCCTGTAATCCCAGTTGCTCAGGAGGCTGAGGCAGGAGAATCACTTGAATCCAGGAGGTGGAGGTTGCAGTAAGCCGAGATCGCGCCATTGCACTCCAGCCTGGGCAACAGAGCAAAAACTCTGTCTCAAAAAAAAAAAAAAAAAAAAAAAGACATGAAAGCATTGTCCAGTAGATAATTTCATTGGTCATCTACAGTCTCTTCGAATATAGACAGCAGACATTAAGATTCCTGTTTTTCAAAGTGTTATCTGAGGCACACAAAAAAACCAAAAGTCAGCAGCAGACAGACAAAGTCAGCAGCAGAACCAGGAGGCCTGGGATGAGATGTCCCTGCCCCTGTCTTTTGCAGACTGGGCTGCCTTTCTAAATGGAGGCCAAGGGCACTCAGCTCCTGACTACCTCCACAGGATTACAATTTGCCTTGACACCTCCCTGGCTGAGAAAGCTGGGGCATGGGATATTTAGTGATTAAAACTCTGGCAGCAAGGGTACAAGCACACAGAAGAAAGACTTCAACTCTATTTCGTGTCTTCCACTTCTCAGTTTCTCTCCTCATTTAAAAACAAAACCAAACCCTGTCTTAACTATAGGAAAAGTTTTCTACGTGTTGACTTCTTTTGGACAAAACATTCCCTATCTCAGGAACACCTTGTTTTGTATTGTGATGAGTTCAAACAGATGCAAAGAATGAAGATAAGGGCAAAACCTACATACTCCAACCACTGGATCATGTGGCATTCAGTAAATACTACTTAAGGCTAAACCAGACATTTAAAAGAGGAAACACAAGAACCTTTCAAAGCACAGACCTTGTCGCTGACCTGGGCTATGCATTTCAACTGCAAATGCAAGGTCATTTTTATTTGTTTAAATTGTAGGATCAAGTCATGTGTTGTGTTTTCCCAGGGCCACACTAACAAGCCGTGCATTTTTAGAGCTATGGAAAGAACCCAAAAGCAGTGAGTGAAAATGTAAGCCATCAGTCTCCTTGCCCTCTTCTGAGTATACAAACCCACTCGACGGCTGTCAAGTTTGAAGGAACTTCCAGCAAACCTGGTTGCTGTCCGCCCTCCCAACCCCCAGCACTGCCGAACATTTGCACCGCCAGTGTGAATGCTCTGAAGAACACTTCTGTCTCCATCTGCCCGCTTTCTTCCCAAATGTTGGAAAGAAAAGTACAAAAATGTTTGCCAAGCAGAGGAATAAAAAGGACATATATTCTTTATGTCCCAATTTAAAACAATATTAAATTGTTCTAGCTGTTTGATTCTAACACGTGTGGGAAGTGAATTCTATGTGAAAGAAGTGCCCAGCAGCGGTCATGCCCTAGCCCAAGAATGGGAGGACTGGCCAGGAGCGCCCTGCCTGGAAATTTGTGCTGTTCATAGTGCTCATGTTAATAGAATGTAGCTGTCCTTTTCTCTTTCCTTTTTAGCTTTCATCTCCACATGGAGAAGGTGATCACTCAAAATATGCAGCCAGACCTGTTTCCAGTACTGTCTGAAATTCCATAAACAAAGAGAAACTACAGCTTGGGTGTCAGACAGGCAGGCTAATCTGGCCCACCCGGGATGTGTGTGTGAGCCGGTGAGTCTAAGCTGGACCCCTGTAGACCTGTGGGGTCGCTGTGGTCGAGTAAAGTGGCCAAGCAGCGCGCAGCCTTCCCGGTCACCCTCGCCCAAGGCCCCCCGGGGATTCGGCCAGCGGTGACCGCCCCACGCCACTCGCAGCTCACCTGCCAGGTGGCGCCCGCTGCGCTTTCTGCCGGCCCGCGCTGCACCGCACACCAGCTAGCTCCCAGCTCACCAGGACCCAGCCTCAGACGTCCTCGATCCTCACCCCACAAGGAAGTTTCAACATTCGTGTAAACTTAGCCAGCCACGCACAAATGCCATAGGCTGAGTTTTCACCAATGAAGTCTCCCTCCGGCTGCAGTGACACCACCCCCAGCACACTCAGCTGTTCCGCATTCCTTGTTTTCTTAATGAAAACAGGAAACCGGGATCTTCTGAAAATGTGTGTTCTTCACTCCAGTTTTGCCAGTTGATTTTTAAATAAAGCTAGCACTTCAAGCATCTCTACAGAGAGGCTCTGTTTTTCCTATACTAGTCACTTCTTCATGAAAGAGTCTGTGTTCTCCTGCTCAGCCCTCGGTCACCTGAGGAGGTGCAGAGGCACAATCAGCCCCACTGTTCTCTGTGGGTTTCAGGGTCCCAGCAGCACTCACTGGTTTCAGAGCACTGCAGGATTCTGCTCAGCCCTGGGCTCATGACACGTGGCAAGTAGTTACCCTTTATCATTAATTTCAACTGAGCCTTTGCCACTGATGAAAGCTTCTTCTTAAAAAATGAAACAAAAACAAATCTTTTTTTCCAGATACAAAAGTAGTACACGCTTGTAAAAAAAAAAAAAAAAAAAAAAAGCCATATACAGATAATTTAAAGAACGTAAGAAAAGGCACTCAGATCTTACCATCTAGTGGCAAGCGTTAATATTTTGGTGTAACTCCTAGTTTTTCTATGTATTTATTAACATAGCTACTTTTCCCACTTAAGGATTTTCAGTAGGAAAGATGAACTGACTCAACATCAGTATTTAAAACACAACAAAACATATCACAGTTTTTACCAAAACCTAACTGGTCCATCTTTAGTTATTTCTTTAGTTCACCTTGTAGGAATCACAAAAGACATGGATCACGCTGAATTACCCGCAAATGAACTTTGGACTTCTGGGAATCAGGAGAGGTTAGAATTTAACCAAGTTAGGCTTGCTTATTTCCTAATACTGCTCAAACCAGGCTACCCAAAAGACTTGTAATTCAAGCTTCCTTCTCCAGCAAGTAAAAAAGTGAGATGTGTTTTCAAGGTGTCATTTTCACAAACAACTGTCCATGGTAAAAATTATTCTACAATAAAACTACCCAGTGTCATTATTTTTTTTAATATCCTGCTTTCTAGTGTATGTTTGCATACATCAACATAAATTAGGCATTTATGAGTCCCTGATTTATTTCCAAACTTTAATAAGACCAAAGAACTTTTTTGTCTTTTGTACCAGACTATAAGCATGCAGACAGCAAAAAATTTAATTAAAAAATATTTTTTTTGGCAGGGAGCGCTAGCTCAGGCCTATTATCCCAGCACTTCGGGAGACCAAGGAGGGTGGATCATCTGAAGGTCAGGAGTTCGAGACCAGCCTGGCCAATATGGTGAAACCCCATCTCTACTAAAAATATAAAAAATTACCCAAGCATAGTGGCGGGCACCTGTAATCCCAGCTACTTGGGCTAAGGCAGGAGAATCGTTTGAACCTGGGAGGTGAAGGCTGCAGTGAGCTGAGAACACTGCAATTTTATATATATATATATATATATATTTTTTTTTTTTTCATTGCTTCCTCTCCCAACCACACACCAACTATCAATATGCTGGGAAGAAAGGAGATGTTTAACAATGTTTACTGAAGGAATAAATAACTGGATATATAGTATAACAAAATAATCTTGCTAGAGTACAGTGGCACCATCTTGGCTCACTGCAACCTCTGCCTCCCTGGTTCAAGGGATTCTCCTGCCTCAGCCTCCCGAGGAGCTGGGATTACAGGCGCGTGCCACCATGCCCAGCTAATTTTTGTATTTTTAGTACAGATGGGGTTTCACTATATTGGCCAGGCTGATCTCAAACTCCTGACCTCAGGTAATCTGCCTGCCTTGGCCTCCCAAAGGGCTAAGATTACAGCTGTGAGCCACTGTGCCTGGCCAACAGTATAAGAGAATAAACTTTGAAAAACATCTTGATGCTCTGAAGACAGAAGTTGTTGGTTAAATATTAGTGTTAAGGACATTTCTTACATGATACTATTTCAGTTGTTATCTTTAGGTTGTGGAATTATAGGTGATTTTTATTTTGTTCTTTATAATTTTTACAACACATGGGTATTTGTCCTTTTTTTTTTTGAGACAGGGTCC